TGGCTATGCCACATCATTAAATGAGTTTTTAACATTTTTAATCTTTAATTACTTTTTTCACCCATACAGAAACCTAAGAGCCGTTTAGTATTTCACATCAATGCTTAGACCTCCTCCCCTACCCCTACCTCCTATCCTACCTCCTGCTAATCTGCCAGCAACAAGAAATCTTACAAGATGTCTCCTTGACGCCGACGATTGCTCCCTTTCTCCCAGTTTTTCGTGCTTTTATTTTTATTTTAAACATTTTTTTTCCTTTTCTTCTCAAGGGAATGAAAATAGATTTGGTAATTAGTTGTTCAATGTTGGTGGTTCAATTTTGTAGATAGTATATTGAGTTCAATTGAGTGGCAGTGCTGTTAATCTGGTTCGATGGAGCGGTGGTGGTTTTGATTAGGTGATGGGGGTGGTTCAAGCTCTGCGTGTGGTTGAGATTCCAAGCGACCGTGTTTGACGGTATGTGTTGGCGATGTTTGATGATGGTGGTGTTTAACGTTGTTGGTCGTGGTTAGGTGGTGGTTATGGTTTGAATGGGTTTAATTGTCTATGTTGGTGGTGATGATTTGATTGGTGGAGGTTATGTTTGAAGATGTTGAATCTGTATTTTCATAATTATAAGGCTTAATTACACTAATGCTCCCTGAAACTTCGGTCAAATCCCACTTTGCCCCCTCAAACTTAAAATGACTCACTTTCATCCCTTAACTGAGGTTTGGTGACCCATTTTGCCCCCTACCGTCAACTCCATCCAAAACTTTGATGACCTGATAGGGGTATTTTTGTAATTCAGTACATGTGGATCATTGCTCACTAATTAAATAAGTGATGTGGCAAGTGGAGCCCATCTCCACATAGATTAAAATACAATTAAATATTTTAAAAAATTAAAAAATAATAAAAATTACCTTAAAAAAAATTAGAACTAAATATTCTAATAATTAAAAACACTACCAAGCAACCCCAATCCCTCTCACCCAAATCCCACCCAAAAAATCCTTATCACTGCCCAAAAAATCCTTAACGAATGGCTCCACAATCACCGTCGAATTCGCTGTCACCACCACCTTCCTCTCGCACTTGTCATGGATTTTGAGTTCGGAGAAGGAGATGAAAATGAGGATTTGGATGACAAGGGCTTTGGAGAAGAAGAAGTAGGCGATGATGACGAGGGTGAGGGAGAGGAGGATGAGGCTGTCGGCTTCAATGGCAACGAGCATGAAGTAAGGGAAAGAGTTCCGAGAGATGAGGAGCGTGTCATTGGGGTCGGCGGCGATCGACTCATCCGACGCCATTTCGCTCGCGTTGTAGGACGTGATCGACGGGAGGGTCTTGATTTAGTTCATTCTCTTTGAGGATTTTTGTGCGTTTCTTAATTTTAAAAGACAAAAACCAAAATACATTGTTGAAGTTTTGGGTAGAGTAGAGATGGGTTTGGGTCTTTCAGTTCTCCAATTAATGAAATCCATTTTTATAACCATTTCAATTTTTACTGCAACTTACATGAAGAATATAGAAATGCATTAAACAATAAATAAACAAATAGCTCCTAATTGATTGATTAACAAGCTGCTTATCTTGCATTGTTGAATTTGGTGAATACCAAGTTGGATCTCAAATTGCAGAGCCGCCGCCACCATGACTATGGAATTAGGAGAAAGTTAGTGAGATGATGCGTTTTAAGGGGTTGGCTCAATTCCGATACAGAAACAAAGGGGGAGAGAGAAGGATGGAGTGAGTTAGAGAGAAGGAGAGGTCGGGATGGGAATGGGACGGCTGGGGATGAGCGCAAGGAAGGCTGAAATGGGGGTGGGGGTGTACGCTGCTATGGATTTGTTTGTTTTTAATTTTATTTTGTTTATATGTAGTTTTTAAATGTTGTTATTTATGTTTTTATTTTTATTTTTAATTATTATAATATTTAATTATGTTTTTATCTATGTGGAGATAGGCTCCACTTGCAACATCACCCACTTAATTGGTGAGCAATGATCCATATATACGAAATTACAAAAACACCCTTGCCATGTCATTAAAGTTAACAGAGTGTTGGATGAAGTTGACGACAGGGGGCAAAATGGGTCATCAAACCTCAGGCAAGGGATGAAAGTGAGTCATTTTAAGTTGGAGGGGGCAAAGTGGGATTTGATTGAAGTTTCAGGGAGCATTAGTGTAAATAAGCCTAATTATATAACTAGACTTTTGAATTTGTTTTCAGAAATCAAATTTCAAAGATTGGGACATGGCATGTGGTTTGTGCAATGATGGAGTGCACTTATAGGTAGGCAAAGTAATAGAAAATAGTGGTTAATTTTTTTGTCGCTGGAAGATTGGAAAACTCTAGTTTATTGTGACTGATTAGGGAGAATATAAGGGAGGAGGAAGGGGAGGAGTTAGGTGAAGAACCAGTTGAAGATAGGGGAAACAAAACTTCTCACATGCTTGGGTTTTTGTAAAGTAAAGGGTAAAAAAATAATAAAAAATTAAAAATGTTAAAAACTCCTTTAATGATGTGACATAACCAACTCAACAGCCACATCAGATGATGGTCTCCCTCGCATTACCCATTTAGTAATCCCAACAGATTGGATTATTAAACTTTTCTCACAATGCTTGCTAATATGGCAGCATGTGAATTATTTGCCAATTTGCCACTGCTTTGCTTGCTTGACTTCTTTAGCCAAACGACACTATCTATGACGTCCATACAATCATTAATTAACCAATTGGCTCAGACTTGCAGAAGCTCTTCTTCACCTCACCCATGGCCACGTGAAAGCCACAGAGCCTAGACATTGCATCTGAGGGGACTGACACTCTTGTTCATCCTGACCGTTCACGTGTGTTGCGTAAATACAGCTGCACCAAAATGGATTCAGTTGCATCCTCAACTTGTGATACTCGCAAGTGCACGAGCCGTTCGGTAGTATAGCGTATGTAAGTGCGAGGTCGATCCCACGAGGATTGGTGATTGAATGATCCAATTTAGTTTCCCTACACAAAATAGAAACAAAAAAACAAAGAACATAAAACAAGGAAGAAAGAAATAAGTAACTCAAGCAAATAAGTTCCCAAGTTCAATTAGATTAATGGATTGATTCTAGCTAAAGTATGATTAAGCCATGGTGTGTGGTCATAACCTTGTGTTCCTAATTCCCTAATTTGATCATTTGTTGTCTAACCTAAAATTAAGCATTAGGAACCCATTAAGCATAGAAGAACAATTTAAACAACCAAGCATGTATCTAATCCCTGTTGTCGAATGTCCATACATACTCTTCCTATTCATAGTTCAATTCGAATTAAAGCATGGTGTATACTCTTAATTCAAACCAAGATAGCTAACATGCAAGCCTAAATGGTGATCAATCATTCAAACTAGCATATTAACTTATAAGCATAATGAATAAGAACATGAACCATAATTGAAACTTGGAAACTAATCAAACACTTCTCTAGAGCTCCCTTCCCTTCTCTCCCTCAAAGTTCTCAAACATCTCTCTACTTCCCTTCTCTTCCAAAAGTCTCCATGTCTCAAACACTTCACAAACACATTTCTCTTCCTTCCCTAAGTTCTCAAATTCTCCAAATTCACAAACATCCTCCAAGTTCTCAACCACTCTCTTCCAAATTCTCAAAGTTCCTAAACACTCACTTCCAAAATCCACAAAGCTCTCAAAACACCTCTCTACTTTCTTATCCAAATCCTCCAA